TGTTTTACGTAGTCTACTTTATCACGAGCGCAAGTTCTTGAGCGACACAAGGCATTAGTTATCAACACCTTGCTTCACACGAGTCGTTCATCCAGCTCTATTTATAGGATGAAATCGAAAATCTTGAAAATTGCCTAGATGGCATCAGTTGAGGTCGCAAAGGGATGTTTGACAAAATAGTCGAGGAAAGCAAATTCATAAAATGCTTCATTTGTGATGACTAGACGTGGGTTTTTGAATGTGGCATCGAAACTATACAACAAGCTAGTGAATGAGACTCAAAAAATTAGCCGAACGCGAGGAAAATAAATTTTTCTAGAGCACTGAAGATCATCCCAGTCGAGGCTTATTACGAATGTAAAGAAAATAGGATGCTTTTATTGCCTGAGAAGTAAAATTTGAAGGAGATAATAAAGTATTTGTATTAATGTAGTTGAAAATATAGTTTTTTTTTGTCAGCCGGGTTCAATTTTGACCAAATGATATTGCTGACTTTTAATCGAAAATATCGGTAAAGGTTAGGGCCTTGAAAATTTGCGTAAGTATACAATCTTCTTTCACAGCCAACTTTAGTCCTATATTTTTTTTACTATTTACTTATTACTATAAGTTTCGATCATGAACGTTTTGCAACTAAGCAATCATTTCATTTTACTTAATGCTGTTGTTATGAAAGCAGCAATGTTAATTTCACTTTGGTTTAATATTATTAGCATTTCATGAAGTACTTTACGAAGTAAAGGACCTGAACCAGAAAATACATGAACTTGGAATGCACAGGAGGTTGGCCATGCACCATCAAAAGCGCTTCAAAACTTTCAGCGGCGACTTGTGACATTGATTGCAGGAAACATACAGACACATATGCACAAATACACATACATACATTCTGAAAATACTCATGTACCAAATATGTATATATTATATGTATGTTGGAGTGCTAATGAGGCAGCCATATGCATCGATGACCTCTGTGAGCAATAACATTATGACTAACATTTATGTGTACATGCGTATGTATTTATAAGGCTGTCCGTTATTTCCCAATCGGGAGTTTGTGAACGCCCCCTTTCTTCTAAAAATGAGCGCTTTATACAATTTAAATTTTGCCTTACATATTTTATTTTACTTTTCCCCTATTGAGATTTTATTCCTTTTGCAATAAAGTTGTTTTTCCAAAGGAATTGAATGTATTTCCTTAAAACTTTGATATTCTGATAAAATATTTTCCGCTCTATACAAAAAATTCTAATAATATATTTTTCATAAAAAGTTAAACGCAACTAGAATTATGAATCAAACGCTCTCTATTCATATAGTACACCATACACATTCTGTGCACTATTACAATAGTACGCCATGTCGTATGAGTAACACAGAATCTGTACTCTATTCCTATAGAACGCCATGTCGTATGAGTAACACAGAATCTGTACTCTATTCCTATAGTACACCATGTCGTATGAGTAACGCAGAATCAGTACTCATTTTCTATAGTACGCCATGTCGTATGAGTAACGCAGAATCAGTACTCATTTTCTATAGTACACCATGTCGTATGAGTAATATGGAATCCGTACTCTATTCCTTTAGTACACCATGTCGTATAAGTAACACAGAATCTGTAATTCACTTGGACGAATGCTCAGGCCAATTGTTGCTTGCTTTGTCTAACTTGTTTTTATGAAAAAAGTAATAAAATCGTTTTTATAGAGCGGAAAATTTTGTAATAGTATATTACTTGTGAAAGTGGTAGATAACTTGCTAAATATCAAAACAAAAAAAAAAAAAAAAAAAAAAAAAAAAAAAAAAAAAAAAAAAAAAAAAAAAAAAAAAAAAAAAAAAAAAAAATACCATAATGAGTTATATAAATGGCAAAAGAAATATGAGTTAGGCACGGTTTAATTGAAAATAGGAGATTATTTGCAAAAACAAGCAATCAACTTGGGAAATAACGCACACCCTAAAGCACATACATATCTGCACTACATACCTGCATGTCCTTCAAAGTATTGAAATCATATGCACCGTATGCGCACTTATTTCTGATTTATTGTATTTAATAGACACTATTATTATGCAAGTTCGTATGCACAAATTTTCCACTTTTTTGTTTGTGCATTTTGCCCGCCTTTTTGTTATCTTTCTTTAACTCAACTGTGCCGTCACATGCCACTCTCAAATGTCAATGACTTTCGACAGAGCTGGCAACATTGGCGACGACATTGTGCATGCCATATTCACATAAAGGCTTTAATGAAATTGTTAATTGCAAACTTTTGCTCCGAGGACAGCTGCCAGCTGGCAGTCATCAAGCAGCAAGCAGCAAGCAACGAGCGGCAGTCAGCAGTTAAAAGGGTGAATGAACACATGCCACTGCGAGAGCAAGGGGAACGGGTGAAAACAATATGTCTCTATATTTAGAGATGTACGTGGGTTGGCCCTGCTGCTCACATGTCTCATTGCACATTGGCAACTGCCAACTAGTGGTGAAGGCAGTGGCAAGATATGGTTGCCATGCCATCGCCGCTCAATTATTTTAACACATTGAACCTGACTTGTGGTCGACCGCGCGCTACCTGGCCCCCGTCCAAGTGAGTGAGTGAGAGTGGACGTATTGGTGACAATATTAGCAGCAGCAACAATGATGTTGGCTCACTTTAATTGTGACACACAGACACACGTGCACACAGTTATGGGGGTATATAAATATAGACATATGCACATAGGCACCCTCGAGACCATTAAATAGACAAGTATGCATTTAAAGCAAAAGTTGACCACAAAAGTTTCAATTGCATGCACATGTTGGCACACACACATACACATACATATAAGTGCATGCTATCGTTCTTATTTTGTTTGTACATTGTTGTAGTTAGAACTATATACATCCGCAGCCACTTCCTCCTGCTTGTGCTGTTTCTTGTTTTTAGTTGTTTGCCTCATTGTTTGCCATTAAAAGTAGTTACTTGATAATGTTGACGATAAAGTCGCCGTCGTCGTCGCCGTCGTCGTCGCCGTCACTGGCTTGGTTTCTATTGGTATTTCTGGTCAATAGTTTTTATTTGTATGCGGTTGCTTTTTGTCTCATTCGTGGCATTGTGTCGGTACTCGAAGTGAAGTTGTTGTCTTCAATGTTATTGTTCTGGAAAGCGTTTCAAAAAGTTGTTTTTGTAAACAACAAACCAGCAAATGTTTACTTTGTGATTATGCTGTATGATTACTAGGAGGATTGTCATTCCAGGAATTCCTTGCGTCAAATTGACTTGTTGATGACCGCCGGTTGATGGGTTCAATGCGCCGTGAATTTGCATATTTTTTTGCTGAACTTTAATATCGATTACGAAATTTTGAAAATTCTAACACGGATAATAACATTTAGGGATTCCGAAAACGCAATCCCGAAAAGGCGGTGTTTAATAAATTCACACGGGTTTGTAACAGAATCATGATTTTATCGCTGCACACACAATTAGTCTTTTATTCGAGGTTTTGGGATCCCGAAATTATAATCCCGAAAAATTGGTATTTATTAAGTTCACATGAATTTATAACAGAAACGTGATTTTATAACAGCGCATATAATTAGTCGTATTTCCGACTTTTTGGGATCCCGTAATCCCAAACCCGGAAAAATCGGTATTTATTAAATTCGTAGGAATTTGTAATAGAACAGAAACATGATACATACATATACATTGATAAACTCATTGATGGGATTGTATCTTAATTCTTAAAAGTTGAACCATGTTAAAAATTACTGTCATACGATCAAAAGCAAATATTCGATATTAAAATATTTATGCATTCCTAAAGTTTCGGGATCCCGAAAATTTAAATCCCGATATTAGAGTCTATTAAAAATTCTGTTGATGATAAATATTAGAATAATTATGAATCCTGAAAACTTCGGGATCCCGAATTTTAAATCCCGACAATTAGGTTCATAAAAAACTCTCTTGACGATACAAAAGTAGCCAACGTTTTCTTGTTTGTATACCATAAATGACCTAGTGTTTATATACATAGGTCAAGGAAGTAAGATTTGTGGGACGGCAAAATGGCTTAAGCTTCGTAGAACAAAGATTTTGTGAGTACATAAAATAACTTATAACTTTTCACGAGTAGTAAAACTCTAAGCTTGAAAAGAGAGGAGAGTACATAAAAGAGGTTGGACTCTATGATCACGCACTTTTGAGAGAACAAATTTTGAGCCGCAAGCTCGAGCTTAATTTTGTGGTTTAGAATTGGTCCAACAGGCCCAGCTGTCTGGTAGTAGAACACAATAGATTACCGAATAGCTCCCATTCTACTGCTACCGGTTCTAAAGTACCTTTCGTTGTTAGCTCATTAGCTTTAGAGTTGCCTGCGATTCAGCTGTGGCCTGGAACTCATACCAGTCTTATCACAAAGAGACTCATTGTTGTTGTTAACAAAGTTAGGCAGTTTCCGATCAACCTTCAACGCACTGGTAATGAGTTCAAGGCTGATATCGCGGCCCTGCTCTCCGGAGCAGTAAATCTACTGCTACTTTATTAGCTGCAACTTCGGCTTGCAGAACACTGCAATAGTCAAGAAGTCTGAAGCTGGAGTTGAAAGAGAGCTCCTGACTGTAATGTCCATAAGAAATATGAAAATGCAAGGGCAAACATTTAGCAGCTATACCTACGAGTTCCTCATAAATATAACAGTGAAAACTCGAGTTTGTAGAAAACCATAAAACTATTACTTTTCGGGAAATAATATATGGGAGCCATACCTTTTGTAAGCGAGTTTTTATATTAAACCTATTGCTAATATTTTTCAGCTCAAAAAGTTTATAATCCGCTCTTGTTTTGGCTTGCAAAATATATTCTCTTAACATTTTCAATAATTCGTGTCCTCCAATGACCTCAAAATAATTATTATAACTTACCTCACTATTTTCGCCTTCATAATCCCTTACGACTTTATACATTAAATATTATGGTATTTTTGTTTTTGCGTTTTCTACTTACGTAATTTTCAATCAAATCATTGCGATGTGGCACAAAGTAGTTGTGATCCTCCATGTCACGTCGCTTCTTCACACGTACGAAATGCTCCATCGGATTGAGATTGCGACGAGCACAGGCGCTGGCCAAAAATTCCTCCACCGACATGGCGTCACGTAGATAAACCGTGGCGTAAGCATTGTCAGGCATGGCAACTTTGAAGGTTTTTTCCGGTTCGTCACGTGAATTCATCTGAAAGGCGAGCAAAAAAGAGAAACACGAAAAAAATCAGTGAAATATGAAAAAAATTGATATTTGTGAAAAATTGTACGAAAATCGTAACAGAGATTATAAGTACGAGCGGAGCTTATGTGCATATATGCTTAATAATACATAGGCGCACTCACGTTATTATTTGGCTGCGGGAGCTGCAGTAAAATTTCATAAAGGTTCAATATAGAAATTAAAGTAGCAGGCGAATAAGAGGAGGAACGAGAGGAAAAGGAAAGAGGGAAAAATATTTATAAATAAATTTCATAATCTGCTGACCAAAATGTCTAAGTAAGTGTATAGAAACTTAAAAACAAAAAACGTTTCTATATTCGCTTAAGAATATTTTCAGCAAATCAGCCGAAACTTCCCTCTTTTATAACTCTCCTTTGATTTACTTACATATATAACTGAGTAAAGAGTGTTGCATAGATAGTAAGCTTTGTCTCAAGATATTGTTATTTGCTGCATTTTAAGACCATGTAAACTCGTTTAATACCGTTACTGATATCAGGCATGTCATAATACATAAATAAAAATATGATATTGCAAAAGAAAAATATTTAACAAAATTGTTAAAAAATATCGATAAAAATTCAACAAAGAGCCATGTCAACAAATTGATTTGCTTTGTGATGAAATCAACATTCGGACGGTCCTTCAGGCTGCTGCGGGGGGCAGTATTGGCATATTTAAAGTGAAAATTCGTCGCGTTCGTGCTCCATTTAGCCGTGGCAGGATTGTTGTTTTCAATCCATTTGCAACTACAAGCCAAATGCACGTGCGAGCGATGCTCCGGATGGCTGGCATAAATATTTGCATACTTAAATCCAAAAAAATATATACATATTTACAAATATAAAAAATGTATATACATATATATATTATGTATATATATAGAGAGAGAGAGACCGCTCAAGAAAAGAAATTTAAGAATATTGAAATAATATTTATGAAATATAATAATTGTATATTTTATTTCTATATATAATCATATCTTTTATTCCAGTTGACAATGGAACCACTGCTACGGAATAATTGAATATGTAGCAGAAGTGCTTCAGGAAGTATATTCGATAACGAACAAACATATTTTGAGTGGCTGTGCTTGCAAACCGCCGTATTGACTTTAGATATATAGCAGAGGATCTCCACACCTCTTACACATCGACCCAACCTATTTCGGACAATGGTTTTTGCTGGGCTCGTCTCGAAGCACCTGAATCTTTTGCAAAAAGTTCGTCGAGTGGAGATCGCTCAAGAGATGCCGTAATATTTAAAATTTTTGTTTTGAAAAAAAAAAGCGCTGTGCAAGTTTTTATGGATAATTGTATAAACTACAAATTTCGTCTGAAGTAATCTTTTGGTACAACTCACTGTTTCATTAAATCCACGGAAAAAGTGTTTGACTTTTGATCTCGAGTACTTTTCATCCAAATGTCGGCACTTTACTCTCATTTTCTGTCTAATTTGACTATTCGTAATCTGTGAATTGAATACCTTACTTAAACGCGTGTTTTGAATTACTTGATTTCAAAGCCTTCAATTTCTTACAGGGTACTTTAGTTATGCGCTCTCTGGTTTGGCGGTAAACCAGCGCTGTCAACTGAGTAAATAAATCAGATATGTTTATTTACATGCATATGTATATGTAAATATGCGCACGGTGACCATAATGGTGTTCAAATAATATATATTTTTGGAAGCGAATATTCGCAGCATTAGCCGAAAAGCTGTAGAAGTTAAAGTATTGTCACCTTTCGTTTCGAAAAAGTGGAAAAAATTAATTTCAAGTTAAAAACTTTTATGAAAGTTTATTGACGAAAATATATTTTGAGAAGTATTGTCACGCGCTTGTAAATTTTAATCAAATAACAAAAAAAAAATTGTAAGATAAACGAATTATTTGAGAATACGTATCAAGACGACGAGGTTTCAGATGGCTACCGGTAAAAATTATTTTAGTAGTGTTGCCACGTATTATAATTTTTATGCAAATTCATTAATTTAATAAATCAAGTTTTTTACTATTGGTATCAAATAACCTTTGAGGGCTCAGTAAGTGAAACATTTGTTGAAAAAGGTTGCCAGCTATCTAAAATTTTAATTGAAAGATTTAATGAAAAGTAATAAATGTTGAAAAATTTTAGGTTTCAGAAAGTGGAGAAATTTTGAAAAAGGTTGCCATCTGTTTAAAATTTTATTTGAAATTAGCTAATGAAGTTAATGAAATATTTCAATATTTTATGCCACATAAAGTTGACAAATTTCTGAGAAAGTTCGCCATATAAAAGTGGAAAATTTTTTTTATAAAGGTTGCCACCTATTTAAAATTTGAAATAAGATTAACTAATGAAACGAATTAAGTATTAAAAAGTCTTGAAAAAAATTAATATAATTTTTCCATAATTTGCTATAAAATCGATTGATGAAATTTATATCTAATTCAAACTTTAAATAGTTAATAAATTCTGAGTTTTTTAGCTTGCAAAAATTAAGCAAAAAATATTTTTAAGTAAATATATAAAATATATTTTCAATATTATTTTCAATAAACAATAACATCTTGAATATTTTTGTGACACACTGTACTTGGTAGCCCATACTGAGAATGCCTAAAAATTCCGCAAATATTTTTATTTATTTTTATATAAAAAACCGTTGATATGCAAAAACACTTCACAGCATGTTAAAAGCCTGCAATGTAGCAGCAGTCTACAGCTTGAAACGCGAAATAATGTTTAATTAAATATTTATTGAAGGTGTTAAAGTTATACAATATCAAAGTGCCGAACAAGCACTAAACGAGCCGCGCGAAAAACGCTATTAAATGTGGCAAGTTCTTTTAAAACAGTTTTGGCTTACAAAGCCTCCATATATATATATATATATGTACATATGTATGTGCGTGACTGTATAAATTTATTTACACAACGGTTTTTGCATTAATTTGTTTCAAACACGTTATAAGTTGAAGTGAAAACTTCATAAACGCTCAAAAGTGCTCACGATGACGAGCGTTCAACTTGTTAGGTTGCATGTTCGGTATGAACGATTGTATTTAAGGTTCGAAGATATTTTTGTTTAAATTTTGGTAAATTTGTATACATTTTGAAAAAAGTTTTGGGCTTTTTGGTAGTATATTAGTATATTTTACTTTACAATTATATACTTTTTTAAATTACTTTTCAACTAGTGGATTCGGTAGATGTCAAATTATTAAAAATATAGTAAATAAAATTGATCATATCTGGCGATGCATGGCATGGCTCAAAGCCTTGGTCTGTGTCCTTATTTGATTTAGAACTTCTTAGAATATATTAAAAATTTACTTCACTTTCAGTTAGAGTAAAACTTTTTGTGGTCTCAGATTTCCAATCGAAAACTCATTCAATTTGGCTCTTTTAACTAATGGATGATGCTCCTGATGATGTTTTTAAAACTCTTTAAACAAACAGTAACTTAAAATATTCATCTCGGCCATATAATCGAATTATATCGCGAATATTTTTGTGCTATTATTTCTTACAACTTTTGACGTGGATTAATTCAGCATCACTGATTCGATGCATTTGATTAAATTTTTTGGCGATAAAGCTCCTTCAATAGCTGGTGTACCAACGATATGGTAACCTCAATCGACATCGAAGATCACTCAAAAATGAATTTCGTAAAGGTCGTTCAAAATCAGTTGTTGTACAGGAAACGTTTAATGCAAGATCGTCATGTAACCTAACGTGAGATTGAGACAATTATGGGCATTGGCGAGATCAGCATAGGCATTTGATTGCAAAACAATTTGATTATGTTCAACCCCCACAATTTTTCAATCGCTCAAAAAAGATCTGTCAATTGGTAGAGATCAAAATGTTAACAAAATTCTACAGCGGTGGTTCAAAACACGTCTATGACATCTTGATAGGTGACGAATTGTGGATTTATACGTATGAGCTAGAAAGTAAACATCAGTAGGCTTTCAAGTTCAGATGAATCGAACCCAATAAAAGTTGTTCGCAGACCGAGGATTTTATGATTGCTTTCTTTTTAGAAAAACTGTCAGTAGTGCCCTAGAACAGCGTAGAATAGTAAATTTTGAGTGTTATAAAACCATCTTTCAAGAAATCATGAGAACCAGCCGCCAAAGACGGACCACGCTTCACCATGACAATGCGAGCTCGCACACACTTACTAAACCAAATGCATTTTTGAGTATTCGAAACATCGTTTTGATAAGTCGACCATCGTATGGGCATGCATTGGTACTGAATGACCTCTTTTTATTTCCATTCTTAAAAAATAAACTAGGAGTTTCTCGACACCTTATGCGGCGGTTGAACCGTTCAGAACACATGTTTTGGAGATGCCTCCATCTGAGTGGAAAAGTGCTTCGAGAATTGGTTAAAACGCATGCAAAAGTGTACAGATATTAATAGAGAATATTTTGAAAGGCAATAGTGTAATTTTCGATGATTTATATTCGTTTTTGTACTCGCATCCCGAAATATGGAAGGCAACACTCGCATAAGTTATTACATTTTTGAGCAAGCTTTTGAAAGCATTGTTGCCAAAACGAAGTATAAAAGTATAGAAAAACTAGAGTAATAAATGTATTACTGAGTAGGAAAAAAATCCTCAAATCAAATCAATCACGGCACATAAACCATGTTTAAACTGTTGAAATTTTAATTCTGTGGGCTCACAGTGAGAAAAGTTGAGATTGGAAGAAATCCAACCAAAAATTCATTTGCTGAGTTTATATGATAAAAAGAAATATTTTAATAACTCAAGAGTTCTCACTGCAATTGCTTCTTAGTGATTTAAAAATTTGTATAAAAAAGAAAACAAATCATAATAAACGTGTCAGGTCTTGCCAGTTAATGTCATAATTAATACTGATTACCGTAATTATGGCTGCCAATGAAAAATATGCAAACTCAAAAGTGTAAGCAGTGCAAATAATCATATATATTTATATTTTTATT